AGGTATGCACCACCATGCCTGGCTGGCACTTGGGTCTTGATGGTCTCAGAGGCAGAGAACCCTTGAAGCTTCAGCATGTGACAGAGTAGAACTGAGATGCCCACCTACAGCAAGTGCTGTTGAAGGGCTAGCTGCAAGGTGGAAAGGAAGGATGGGGACAAACTTGCCTCTCAGCCCATGGATCCATAACGTGTGGGTCCATCTCAGATTCCATTAAGTCAGCAGTTGAGGAAGTGCACTTGGGAGCAGGGACTGCCTTCCCACAGGTCAGCGAGAAGGTGAGTCTTTGGGAATCCAGGCTGAGAGAGCAAGTCGCCTCCCTGGCACGGCCATAGTGCTGAATTCTTACAGAGAGAGGACAGAAGGGCACAGTCTACCCTGGGATTTGCACACATGACTCCCAGGGATGAAGTCACAGATAGGCCAACAGCCTCACATTGATGATTCAAGGCACCCTCTCTGAGAATGAGCAGGTGGATCCAAGGGCAAGACCAGAGTTGTCAATGTTCCCGGGGCACGATGGTCAAAGGACCTGATAACGTGATCGGTAACACTGGACGTTTGCTATGTGTGGGGCTGTTCCTAGCGCTACACCAGGACCCTTCCGCTGCATCCTCAGCAGCTCCAGGAAGTTGGTGCCAATGTCACGCCTATTTTCCAGATGAAGACATGAGGGCAGCATGGCACGGATGAGTTATGTGGCCTGTTCTGAATCACAAGCTGAGAAATGGAAAAAGCAGAGTGTAAATCAAGGATGCTGGCCTCCAGGGCCTGCCCCCTCTCTGGGTTATGCTCTCTGCCTTCCCCTGAGATTACCGTGTGCCAGTGTGCCTGGGAAGGGATCAGAGGGGGAACCTGGTGATCAGATGAGAAAGGGGAAAGATAAAAGAACAATCCTTTTCCTCTCTTGCTTCATCAGGATGAAGTTTTGAATTTTCATGACACTAGGTGGCAGCAGTCATGGACGTTTACAAATTATTTGTGTTTTGTGATGTAAAGCGACTCTGATGCGTCTAATGGTCAATACCTTGTGAGATACAACAAAATGAAGATTTACAGGAAGGAAAAGGAAAGAGAAGAATTTTCCAAGTCCAGGCTGAATTGAAAAAGATGCAGGCAGAACTTTTAGAAGTAAATACAATAAAACATAGTTGTTGAAATAAAAATCCCAAGTGAGGAATGAAACAATAAACAGATGCTAATGAAGAGAGAACTAGTGAAGTGGAAGGTGAAGCCAAGGAAATGCCCTCCTACCCTGCTCTCCCTCTTACCTGATGTTGCCGCCTTCTTCTTCCTTGAGAAATTGCTGTAGCCTCTCATTAGAGTCCTGAATCCTGGTGTATCAACACTGCTGACTTATTGGCTCATGAGATCCCCAACTTTCTTTACCTCTCATTTTAGGAGCAGTAGCTTCTTTCTTTGTCAAGTGTGTTACTTCAGTGTTCTTCTTTGCACTTTTGGCTCTCCAATCCCTGAGCAAACCACCCTTCACGTTAAATTCCCTGTCTTGTAGTAGTAGGTAAATTTTTGTCTCTGACTTGTCCTTTGAGTGGTCTCAGAAGACAGACCTCCAACATAGCATTTGGGCAAGATTGTGCCTTTGAGCTAGATTGCAGAGCTGAGGGTTTTCTTTTCCTTGCAAGTGGCGCATGAATCATCCATGGCCTGCCGTGGGCTCACAATGAATGTAGCTACTACCCCCTTTTGTTTGACTGGGTTGATGTGCCAACTGAAGCCAGTGTCTGGGGAGCTCAAGTCATTGTCATGGTGGCCATGAGGACTACTGGTAGTCTGGGATAGTCCTCTGTGTGCATTTGACTGAGAAATCATGAGCTCGTTTTCCTTAACTCTCAAGTCAGAGACCCTGGGGACTCCCAGAACAGCCCTCAAAATCTTCTTCCTCTTTGTACCCACAGTGCTGACAATTCTGACAATCCAGCCCAAAGTTGAACATGTGGGTTACAAAATGCCAATGTGTTGAATTTCCATCCTTGACTTTTGTCCTGTGAAATGTAAGGGGTAGTTTTCGAAAAGTGGGGTCCTGAAACCTGCAGTTGGGGAATGTGGAAAATGTTATTCGAGAAGCCCCCAGCCTCTTTGAGCCTCCTTTGCTGATGGAAATGGTCTGATGTCCTGGTTCTGGGGGGATGGACTGGTGTTCCTTCCCTGGAAATGTCTCTCATTTTTCTGGGGCAGGTGCCTAGCATGATGATACTCGTTACTCCTGAGACCTTCCACTCCTTCCCCTTGTTTTCATAGCTCCAAAATTTGGGTATGATTTCAACACTCCTGCATTGGGCAAATAGGTCTGACTTAGAAAAAAACAGTCGACCTAGCAATGATTTTGAGGACTTGTGGTTAGCTTCCACCATAACCCCAGGGAACTTGTTTGGAACTGGATCCTTGGGATCTTCATGTAAAGGATGTGATCAGTCACATCTCTGGACAGAGCTCAAATCACTGATAGGGTTCCAGTCATTACAGATCTCAGATTGACCATGTTAGTATTTGCAGGTTATGGCATCTGTAATAGTTTTCTTGCTTATTCAGCTGAAAGGTGCCGGGATTGAAGAGGTCCTTTACACGAAAGTGCTCAAGAAAGGAATGAACAAGACAAGACATAAGAAAGGACTCATTCACTCAGGAAGGGAATGACAAAACACATAGCGAGAGGGCCAGCAGGCTGATGACCAACTGGCAAAATTTTATTTTTCTGGCAAACTTTATAGAAAAGAGGAAGAGACTTAAACATCAAAACACTCTGAGCTAGCCACAATGTGTTTTTGCCATCCTGTATTTTTACTGCTAGTGTGCTTGACTAAGTATAAACTTCTTTTCAGTCAAGGGAAACCATTCAGTGTTCCTTCCCACCATGATAGAGACATGGTGCACCTGCAGATTCAGACCTTGTTGGAATGCTCCTAAGCCACAGCGACCTTGTCAGACTTTGGCTTTTGGTTCCTAACAGAAAGTGTTTGGTTTTTTTTTTTTTTTTCTTGTGGTGCTGGGAATCAAATCCAGGGCCTTGTGCATGCTAGGCAAGTGTTCTGCCACTCATTTCCACCCCCAGCCCAGTTGACTTCAACTTGAATATGTGCCTGCGTTTTATATGGGATGATGTCGTAGTCGAGGCTGAGAAAAAAGTCCAAAGTCTAATTAGTTAAGAGAAAAAGTGGAGTAGGTTTTTACATGTGATCTGGACACCCCTTCCTCTCCAACAGTCTTTCATAAAGTCCACAAGACACTCTCTTCACTGAGACACTAAAAGAGTCATTTATGAGGGACCACCTGCATCTTTAAAGCTCTGTAGTATTTAAGACAAAAAGAAAAGCTCTGTGGTGCTCTAGTTCCATAAGCCCCACATGACTGTACATCATGGCACCACTGGACTCCCCAATTCCCCTGGAGATAACAGATAATGTGGCAGCTCCAACCTACCCAAGGCAAGTAAACCATGTGTATGATTGTTCACTTGGAACATAGAAACAATCACAGTGCCTTGCCCACAGATCTTTGGTGATGGCTGATTGATCAGTGTCTCTAGGGACAAAATAGAAGGGTAGCCTGGTACATCACTGAAACAGATAACTCTTACGTGCATGTTTGGAACATGCTGGTAATACATGTGTAATTACAGCACTTGGGAGGCTGAGGCATGGAGCATCACAGTCCCTGGGCTACAGAGTGAGACTTTGTCTCAGAAAAGCAAGTAAATAATTTTAAAAGAAACTATTGAATATTCTAGTTCTTGAAGTCATGTAGCTGACTTTAGTTGACCCATAACCTGTCACTTAATTTTCAGGCCTAAGTCAGTGTAAGAATTCAGAGCCCTATGATGCAAGAGGAGACAAGATTCTCCTGGGATGGACCTTGCGCCATTGCTCTAAGTGTATGCTGCAAATCTTCATAAGCTTCCCCCAAAGGATCTGCACTAATTACTAAAGTGACATGTCTTCCAGGAGAACAGGTATCTTAGAGGAGCAATCAAGTGACATGAGAGACTTTGTTACCTTCTAAGTCCCCACCTCCAGAAGCGTGGACAGACACCTTCCGGCCCCCCCCCCCCGACTCAGGGGCCAGGCAGCTGGGGAGGGGGTGTCTATGCTTGGCCGCTAACCGGCCCAGAGACGTCCTCAGAGGCCCTTTCTGCACAACACGGCGGGTGGGAAGGGGGCCACCACACATTGGGGTCCTGGGGAGGCAAAGCTCACGGGAGGCGGGGCAAAATTGCGGGGGAGGCCCGGACTGGGGCGTGGCCTGAGGCTCTGGCACCAGGTTCCTTCTCCAGCTGAAGGAGGGACAGTGTGTGTGTGTGTGTGGGGGGGTGCCACCCTCCTAGCCCCTTCTCCAAATCTCCCTGGGAAGCACTTCTCTTTCCCTAGCCGCCTGAGTAGGCGGGGTTAGCCCAATAAGCGCCCACGGGGTCTCTAGGACCCTGATTATTCCTGGAGTCTTCTGGGCCTCTTTTCTGCAGGAAAGCGTAACCCCAGGTTCTCCGAAAGCCGAAACCTGGACCACAGTCACAGCAAGTCCTACTGAATACTCTTTAGTTAGGGGAAGGTTTTGGGAGGGTGGGTATCCTGCTAAAGCCTCCCTGTTGACAAAGAAACACTAGTTGAGGCCCGGCATGGCGCTTTCCCGCCCGGCTCTGGACCCTAGAGGAATTTCGGGACACCTGCGCGGCCACCGCGAGTTCCACCAAGGACCACTTTTCTTCTTTCAACTCCTGGAATATGTCTATCATAGTGACAACAAAGCATGTCAAAAGTTCTAGGCCAAGATGGCTAGCCGGAAGCTGACTTCAGGAGCTGATGTGTCGAAACCCCATTCGCTTGTAGGCTGCCCGCGGTCCAGTGCCTCGCCACCACCCCACTTTGCGCATGTGTTGGGCCGCTCCCATACGCAGGCGCAGAGCGCAGCTGCCTCTATGGTCAGGATGCTTGATAGAGTGTCAACCCACCGCGTCGTTGAGACTCTATGGTTCCTGCGCTGGAAGATAGTCCGCCTATATAAGGCCGGCACAGGCGTGGGAGCGCCTCTTTTCCTGTGGCACGGTGAGTGGGTATGGTTGTGCGGTCTTTTAATACGCTTGTCTTTTCTTGCTGGGGTTTGAGGCCTCTCTTCGACTTGTACTTCAACTCTGATTGTTTCGTTGCAGCCACCGAAGATTCTGGTGTCGCCATGGGTCGCCGCCCCGCTCGGTGGTGAGTCCTGTCTCTATCCATCCAGTTTCACGGCTGTTAAAAGGGAGGCGTAGTTGCTTTTGGCCCAAAAGACAACCACTGGGTGGAGCCTTCGTCCCCCAGCGTTCGTGTCCTGGGAACTGACTCCATGTTTTCCGTAGTACTTTTCTGTTATTCTTCGTTTATATCATTTGTTTCTTTTAAAAGTTTGTTACCTTACACTGCTCACCTGGTTTTATTGCCAGGGTGCCAGATTGACCCAGGATTGCATTTGCAGCGCTAGTGTTGGGTTGGAAGCATCGTTTGCTGTCATCCAGTCCCCTGTCCTGCAAATTTGCAGTATTTTAGTGCTCGATATCCCATTCGGGCCTTTTTGTGTGGCCCTTGCCGTATTTCTGGGCGTTGTATCGTGTGGTCTTTTCGGGCACCGAAGCGGGCCCGGAAAAGCGGGCGCTGCCGTCTCCTGCGTCCTGCAGAGGGCGCAGCGTGCCGTTCATGTGGCTCTGAGGCCGATTTCGGGTCACGTGCTGGGAAGTCTTAAGTAGCATTTTGAGCGTTGGAATTACTGTGTAGCGAATTTGTACTGTACTGTACTACGGGGAGGTCTTTTTTTAGTTGCGAAGTTTACAATAATGCACTGGTTTGGTAATGAGTTTGGAGCTTGACTGTAGGGAGACACTGGTCCTTTTTAGGTTTTAGCGTAGGTGTCCTTTGTTGTGAACACCTGTTTTGACTGTTTTAGAGCCAATTTCTCCAAATGGAGGCTAAATTAAGGAGCTGGGCATGTCCCTCTTGTTATTGCTTAGGGAAGCATTTAGAGAGTTTGAGTTCACCTGTGGCCCTCACTAAACTTGGAATTTTTTTTCTCCTCTGCAGTTACCGATATTGTAAGAACAAACCGTACCCCAAATCTCGCTTTTGCCGAGGTGTGCCTGGTAAGTAGTGAAGGACCTTCCTAACTGGATTGTTCATGCTGATTCAGCTGCCCTTGGAACTTCCTTCACACTTAACCCAAGTTTTTTCCAGATGCCAAGATCCGCATCTTTGACCTGGGGCGGAAGAAGGCAAAAGTGGACGAATTCCCACTTTGTGGCCACATGGTGTCTGATGAATATGAGCAGCTCTCCTCCGAAGGTGAGGCAGGATTGTTAATCACTTCCGCATCATCTGTGTGCTCCCTTAGCTTGATCCAGAACACATAATAAAGCATGAACCTGTCTTCTCAAATCCCCACCTAACATGTTTCCTTAGAGTTGGGGAGGGTTGTGGTGCCTCTGCACCATCTTGTCTCACTGCTGCTTTCCTCCTCACTCCTAGCCCTGGAGGCTGCCCGTATTTGTGCCAACAAGTACATGGTAAAAAGTTGTGGCAAAGACGGCTTTCATATTCGAGTTCGGCTCCACCCTTTCCACGTCATTCGCATCAACAAGATGTTGTCCTGTGCTGGGGCTGACAGGTGAGCTGGGGCTTGCACCTTTTCCCACAACTTGGTACCTCTGCTGGGTTTGGACTCCAATCAGGCTGAGTAAAGAGATGGACTTCACATATGTTCAGCTACCTAGTGACTGAGATAAAATGGGACAAGCACTGGCAAGAGGTTTTCAATGGACACTTCCTGATCCTACAGCATAATGAAGCTGGCTCTGGGCCACAGGTGGGCGGTGTACTGTGTAGACAGAGCCTACTTTGAGTGTGAATAGCAGGCATTTGGGGAGCTTTGTGAAGGACCAGTAGCAACTTGCAGGGCCTTCCACAGGTAATTTCCACAATACTTTGCAGCCAATTAAGCCGACCAGTTTCCTTTACTCATAGGGACCTGGTGTGCAGTGACTGCAGACAGCAGCCTCCTTGGTAGTGTATGCAGCCTGTTGTTTGTGTAGGTTGCTCTAAGGGACCTTGGAAACAGGTTTCCAATGTGTATGTGTCTGATCTCACACTGTCCCCTATCTAGGCTCCAGACAGGTATGCGGGGTGCCTTTGGGAAGCCCCAGGGCACAGTGGCCAGGGTTCACATTGGCCAGGTAATCATGTCCATCCGCACCAAGCTGCAGAATAAGGAACATGTGATTGAGGCCCTACGCAGGGCCAAGTTCAAGTTCCCTGGCCGCCAGAAGGTAAGTTGTGCTTTAAGCCCCTTCTGCCTTTTTTGTTCCAGTATTCTCTGCTGAATTCTTCCATCTCTCCTTAGATCCATATCTCAAAGAAGTGGGGCTTTACCAAGTTTAATGCAGATGAATTTGAAGACATGGTAGCTGAGAAGCGGCTCATCCCTGATGGCTGTGGGGTCAAATATATCCCTAATCGTGGTCCCCTGGATAAGTGGCGAGCCCTGCACTCATGAGGGTTCCCACTGTGCTGTTCCCTCCTTAATCACCTTAATCATGTGCAACAATAAATCATCCTGACCACTTACATTTTCTGCATCGGATTCTTTGTTGTGTGCAGTGTAGGGTTTGAACTCAGGATCTACACCTTGAGCCACTCAACCAGCCCTTTTTTTGTGATCTTCTTTTTTCCAAGATAGGGCCCAGGCAGCTTTGAACTTTAATCCTCCTGATCTTTTACAGGCCCAGCCCCTGTATTCAGCTTTCATCTGATTCTTGAAGGATAGATGTGGTAGGGAGGTGTCTTTTTCAGAACAGACTTATAACTGAGGGTCATGTGGCTGTAATTGACAACCTATAAGGGGCTAAGATCACCTTTACACCAGTTGACTGTTTTGAACTACACCAGTTGACTGTTTTGAACCCCCCCAGAGAGCAAGTGAGGAAGCACTAAAGCTGAGGTGGGGTCATGGAGGAGGGGTTGTTGGGTAAGGCTAATCCTGGACTCCTGTAACATCACTTAGGGAATGAGTCTCTACAAAAGGGTTCAATGTGAATGGTGGTGTGTATCTGTAGTCACCTACAAGTATCTACAGTACCAAATGGACAGTGAATTCAACTATGATATAAGAACTTTGGTAAATGTCACAGTGTACCCCCAGTACAATAGTAATAGTAAATTTTAAAACAGTATCAGAAGCTTGGGGCCAGCCTTGGCAACGATGTGACAGCTTTATAGAGGCCTGATCTCAGAAACCAAGACTATTTGCAAGCTCTAGTCGTAAAAGTGATTACATTTAATGTACACATTTATGTTTGAATAGTCATTTTTTTGGTGTGAAAAGCTTATCCACTTTATCTACTGGGGTCTTGACCCCTATATCCTGCATGATAAAAATAGTCCATTGGCACATCTTATGTAATAGCCCTCCAATCTGGCTTTTTCTGCTATAAATTATCTGTGTAATAGTATCTGTTGTCACTCCCTTTTTTGGAGAGCAGTAATGGGGGTGTTTATTGTAGATAGGCTATGCCACTTGAGCCAATCTACCATCCCAGTGACAAAATGCTGCTTGAACCCACCCATGCCTTCCCAGACCCAGCCTTGGAGTGGTCTACCAAGCACAAAACAGGTGGGCTGCAGTTTAGCCCCAGGGGAGGTCAGGTTTGAGTCAAAGTCAGTGTCACGTCCATGGATGGAAGACCCTGGGCAGTTCAGGCCACCGGGCCCAGATGAGTGGGCAGGAGTGCCAGCAAGAGCAGCATAGTCAGGCAGAGGGGCTGGACACTGTGAGCCTCTCGGTTCAGTTCCACCTCCACAGGATAGTGATCACTGATGCTGAGGGCCTGAGAATGGCAATGGGATGAAATGTCAGTGCCTAGGACTGACAGAATTCCCTCCCACCACCACTACCATTTCTTCTCTCCCTTGTGCCAGCTCCACCTCTCTACCTCCTCCTCAGTGAGCTGGAAGCTCCTGGGAAAATCGAAGGCAGCTGCAGCCTGCAGCAGGCTCTGGCAGCCCTGCCCATGCAGTACAATGCGGTCATAGGTGCAGTTGGTGCTGGCCCGGACGGTGGTGTCTTCTCCATCGGGAATCACCCAGTGAAAGCCTGCCTCTGTCCGCAGCAGCAGTTGGTTCAGGCGCTTTTTAGTCAACGAAGCACAGTCAGCATTGAAATCTCCGAGCAAGATCACTTCCTAAGGACCAGAGAGGCAGTCAGGTCTAGTGGCTGGGCGGTCCCCAACTGTCCCCATCTGTCCCCATCCCTCTCATGTGAGCTGCTAGGCCCTACCTTGCTCTGCCAGCGCTGGGAGACATCCAGAAATACGTCGTAGAGGGCATTCAACTCCTTCTCTACATCCTTAGGAGTGGTGTGCAGCGGGACCAGCACCACACTGGGAAGGACTGCAAATACAGGCAGCTGGGGCTGCCACCCATTCCCAACCCTTCTCCCCCAGCTTCCTCCTTATGACCAAGTCCCCAGCGGAGGAGCTAGCCATACTCTCCTTGCTCCCATACCAAGCCCACCTTTCTTCCCCTCCTACTTTTGCTAGGCAAAGTGAACTGGGCCACAAAGGGCTCCCGGGCAAAGAGGTCATCCGAGTCGTCATACTGGTAGGAATTCAGAACCTGTGTCTTGTCGGACCTGGGAAGATCAAAAGATGGGATGCAGTGGTCCCCAAGTCTCTGATTTTTGGCTTGCATGTGCTCAAGGAGGGGCTTCCTATTTCCTGGCTCTACCTATTCCATGTGGCCACAGCCTTTTTTCTCAAACTTTTGGGGTTATAATTTATTGGAGCTAGGAATGAAACTCAGGGGCTCACACATGCTAAGCACACACTCTACCACTGAGCTCAGGGCCTGCACCTTGAGCCACTCAGCCAGCCCTTTTTTGTGATGGGTTTTTCAAGATAGAGTCTTGCAAACTATTTACTGGGGCTGGCTTTGAACTGCAATCCTCCCGATCTCTGACTCCCGAGAAGCTAGGATTACAGGTGTGAGCCACCTGCACCCAGCCTAAAAAAAAATCCCTTTGATTAGTACATTCTGAACATTTTTTTCTGGCAGCACTGGGGTTTGAACTCAGGGCCTCATGCTTGTTAGGCAGGCCCTCTACCACTTGAAGCCACTCTGCTAGCCCTGTTTTGTATTGGTTTTTGTCTCATGAACTATTTGCCAGGGCTGGCTTTAAACTGTGATCCTCCTGATCTCTGCCTCCCAAGTGGATAGGATTATAGGCCCAAGCCCCTGGTGCCCGGCAGTACTTTTTTTATTGCTGAGTAATATGCCACTATGGGTATTCCACATTTTGTCCACCATTCATCAGTTGGTGTATATTTCCACTTGGGCTGTTATGAATAATGAGCATTCATGTGGGGATGGGTTTCAATTCCCTCAGGTGTATACCAAGGTAATGTAGTTCTTTCAGAATAAATCCTGGACATCATATAATTTCACCTACATAACCTGCTCCCCAGCCTATTCTCCCAGAGACTTACACTATTTCTAAGCTGGGCATGGTAGAGCACACATGTAATCCCAACTACTTGGGAGGAGGAAACAGAAGGGTCAAGAGATCAAGGCCAGCCTAGGCAAAATTAGCCAGACCCTATCTCAAAATATAAGCCGGCCCAGCCTATTCTCCCAGAGACTTACACTATTTCTAAGCTGGGCATGGTAGAGCACACATGTAATCCCAACTACTTGGGAGGAGGAAACAGAAGGGTCAAGAGATCAAGGCCAGCCTAGGCAAAATTAGCCAGACCCTATCTCAAAATATAAGCCGGGTGCTGGTGGCTCACACCTGTGATTCTAGCCACTTGGGAGGCTGAGGTCAGGAGGATGGCAGTTGGAGGCCAGACTGGGCAAGTAGTTGGAGAGATCCCATCTCCAAAATAACCAGAGCAAAATGGACTGAAGGTGTGGCTCAAAGAGCAAAGCCCTGAGTTCAAGCCCCAGTCCCATACCCCTCGCGAAAAAAAAAAAGTCCAAACGAAAGGACTGGGGCATGGCTGAAGTGGTAGAGCACTTGCTTAGCAAGCGTGAGGCCCTAGGTTCAATCCTCAGTATTGAGGGGAAAAAAATACTTTCTAGAAATTTAGTTCAACCAATGCCAACATTCATTGATCCTCTTTCCAGAAGCTGTGGCTACTGTTGGCCACTCCCAGAGAGGGGACCAGCCACTCTCAGAGCACCAGTGGCTTCCATAGGAAGGAGGAAGAAGGGCCCTACATTTGTGCATGGGGAGAGAGGCCTCCTATTATATGGACATGCCGGCTGGGGTTGATGAAGGGAAGATCCCAGAATAAAACCATTGTGGCGAAAGAGCATGGTGAGAAAGCGAGGCTATCCCCAGAAGGGAGGGTCTTGTGGCCCTTGAAACTAATGAGCCATCTCCCAAGCCAAGGGCTAGCCCTGTCTTTCCCAACCCCTGTGCTTACCGGTAGATGAACACATACTTCTCCTTGTACGTGCTTCGTCCCAGCAGTGAGCTATTTAGGAAGCTATAGTGCCTAGCGCTGTCAAGTCTGCTGGGAAAAGAGGAGCTCAAGGTCAGGGCCCCTGAGGCTCTGAGTGGGCCCCAGATTAGACCCATAGAGTCTTCCTCACCGTTTGAGCTCTCTAAGCAGCAGGGAAATTGTAGTGTTGGAAGAGTCCACCACCTCCTGCAGCACCATGATGTCACAACGAGCCAGGATCTGTGCGACACCAAGGAGGCTAGCTCTACTTACAGCCAGCCACCAAATGGGGGTTACCTAAGGAACTGGCACTGATATGGCCAAGAGTGACAGGGCTCACTGGTTGCAACCCACAGAGAGCAGTGGGACTAGAAAGGAGCTGGGGGAAAACTGAGTGTCACCCCCATCCAGACCACACCCATTTCACACAGGAGGAGACAGACACCAATGAAAGAACTTTCTCTGCATCTGTGCATTCACAGAGTAGATGTCCCTTCTACTCTGGAATATGTCCCTGGTCAGGGAGGGTTGGGAGCTTTGTGTCATAATCCTTAGGCGCGTGGATTCCTGCAGCACCAAAACTTACCCGAACTAAGGCATCTATCACCTCCTCCCTGGCCACCTTGGCGAGTGTCAGCCGCTGGGCATTGAAGGCACAGATGCGAAAAGCCTCAGTTCCGCCAGTCAGGAAAATGAACAGGAGTACAGCTAGGCCACACATGGCTGCGTATGGCTGTAGGGTCCCTCCAGAAGAATCCAGGCTTCCCATGCACTCTCAACTGGGCTTGGTTAAGTGGCGTTTGCTCTGCTGCTGGCTGTGCAGTTTCTTGCCTCTCTCCCTGGAAACACCTGTCAATCTCTGAACATATGGCTTGACCTGACCACGTGATAAGATACATGTAGCATAAAACTTACCATCTTAACCATTTAAGTCCAATAGCATTAAGCACATTCACACTATTGTGCAACTGTCACCACCTTCCGTCTCCAGAACTTTTTCTTCTTCCCAAACTGAAATTCCGTGCCCATTAAACACAACTCCTTTCCCAGGAGGCTAAGGCAGAAAGACGTCTTGAGCCCAGGAATTCAGGTTCAGCTTCGGCAACATAGTAAAACCCTATCTCTTAAAAAACAAAAATAAGGCAGGGCATGGTGGTGCACACCTGTGATCCCAGCACTTGAGAGACAGAGGCAGGAAGATCATGAGTTTGAGGCCAGCATGGGCTACATAGGGAGTTCCAGGCCAGCCTCAGCTATACAGTGAAACTCTGTCTTTTTTTTCTCTCCCTCTCTCTTTTTTTTTTTTTTTTGGCGGTACTGGTGTTTGAATTCAGGGCCTCACACTTGCTAAGTAGGCATTCTACCACCTGAGCCACTCCACCAGCCCAAGACTCTGTTTTAACACACCACAAATAAGGACTGGAGGTGCGGCTCAAGTGGTAGAGCACCTGGCTAGCAAGTGTGAAGCCTTGAGTTCAAACCCCAGTACCACCAAAAAAAAGTGCTTTCTGGGGCTGGGGATATACCTCAAGTGGTAGAGTGCCTGCCTGCATAGCAAGTGCAAGGCCGAGTTCAAACCCCAAACAAGAAAATAATTTAGGGGGCTGATGGAGTGGCTCAAATGGTAAGAGTGCCTGCCTCGCAAGCGTGAGGCCTTGAGTTCAAACCCCAGTGATGCAAAAAGAAAGAAAGAAAAAAAATTTAATAAAGAAAAGAAACCCAAAAGAAGAACGAACCAAAAAAACAACTCCCCAGCCATACCCCCAGCCCTGGCACCCACTGTCCTACTGTCTGTCTATGCATTTGGCCACACTAGTGGACTTGTTGCCACTGTCTTATTTCGTTGGGCATCACATCCCATGGCTCATTCTTGTACAGCATGTATCAAAATTTCCTACTCTTTTTTTCTTTTGGTAGGACTGGGATTTGAACTCGCAGCTTTGTGCTAATAAACAGGCTCTCTACCACTTGAACCACATCTGCAGCCCATTTTGCTCTAGTTATTTTGGAGATGGGGGTCTCGTGAAATATTTGCCCAGACTGGCCTCCATTTGTGATCCTCCTGAGCTCAGCCTCCCAAGTAGCTATGATTACAGATGTAAGCCACTAGTACCCGGCAAAATTTCCTTTTGTTTTAAGGCTGGATAATATTCCATTGTATGCACAGACATTTAACTTATCAACTCATCCATCAATGATCAATGAACATTAATTAGGGCATCTACCATTTGGCCATTTGTTTATTTATTTTTTTTGCAGTACTCGGGTTTGAACTCAGGGCCTACACCTGAAGCCACTCCACCAGCCCTTTTTTTTGTGATGGTTTTTTTTCCAGTGACTTTTCTTTTCTTCTTTTTTTTTTTCTTTTTTGGCAGTACTGGGGTTTGAACTCAAGGCTTCATGCTTGCTAGGCAGGCGCTCTACCGCTTGAGCCACTCCACCAGCCCAGGTTTTTTTTCCAGGTAGGGTCTTATGAACTATTTTGCCCGGGCTGGCTTCAAATCATGATCCTCCTGATCATCTCCTGTCTCCTGAGAAGCTAGGATTATAGGCATGAGCCACAGGCACTCGGCTTAGCCGTTTTGAATAATGCTGGTATAGAAATATCTCAGTTTTCTGGTTTGGGTATGTATCTAGAAGTGGAATTGTTGAATCATATGGTAGCTATATTTTTAAATCTTTGAGGAACCACCATATCATTTTTTTTTCATTTTCGTTTTCTTATTTTTGTTGGTGGTACTGGGAGTTGAAGTCAGGTCTTGTGCTTGCTAGGCAGCTGCTTTACCGCTTGTGCCATGCTCCCAAGCCCTTTGTGGTTTAGGTATTTTTCATTTACTAATTTTTTTTGGAGGCACCGGGGCTTGAACTCAGGGCCTCACGCTAGGCAGGCGCTCTTACTGCGTATGCTACTCCATCAGCCCCTAGGTATTTTTCAAATAGGGCCTCAACCCTCATATTTATACTTTCTGAGTAGCTGGGATCACAGCTGTCTACCACTATGCCCAGCTATTGCTTGAGATGGGGTCCAACTAACTTTTTTGCTCAGGCTGGCTTCATACTGCAATCCTTGCCTCCCAAGTAGCTGGGATGACAGGCATGAGCCACTGTACCCAGTCCCACTATTTTTTATAGCTGTTGTACTATTTTACTTTCCTACTCACAGTGCACAAAGGTTTGACCACATTTTTTTTTTCATGGCACTGGGGTTTAACTTAGGGCCTCACACTTGCTAAGCAGGTGCTATACCACTTGAGCTCCTCCACCAGGCCTTTTTTGGTTGGATAGTTTTCAAGATAGGTTCTCATGAATTATTTTTTTGAACCTCAATATTCCTGATCTCTTGCCTCTGGAGTAGCTAGGATTATAGGTGTGAACCACTGTTGCCTGGTGACCTCATTCTTTTAAACTGCTCCATAGCATTTTCCTTCTAGATACCCTGACTATGGGAGATGCAGTTAGTCCCACGTTCTACCTGGGAGATGTTCTCATTAAGATAAAGTTCCAACAGTGAAAATCTTGGGTTCGAGGGCATATGCATTCAAAAATGATTCCAGACAGGGCCACATCATCCCCACTGCAGTGTGTGATGGATGGGGCCTCTTCCCATGACCTTGTCACTGCTGGCAAGCCTTTTTTGTTCATCTTGCCAGCTGGAGCCCCTTTCTTTCTGAGCATGTCTCTTGATTTATCTTCCTGTCCATGTCACTGACATTCCCAGACATGAGGCCTAGGCTTCTTCTGTCTGCCTGCTTTTCTCAGTCTCTCACTTTCTGCTTGTCTTGACTCTACCCGTGTGTCTTGTTTGCTCTCCACTGTTCTCCCGCTGTCCGTGTCTTTGTCAGTGTCTTCCTCCTGGCTGGCTTTGACGCCTGTTTTCTCACTGACCACCTGCTCTGTCACTCATGCTAATTTGGGTCTTCGGCCCTGGTGCCTATTCTGGGATACATACGGGTGTGTGTGCGGCACTGAACTGGCTCCAACAGGTTTGGAGGTCCTGAGGTCAAGGGCTCCCACCACATCTATGGGAAGGAACCAGAAAGAGCTACTGTTCCTGGCCTCAGCTCAAAGCCCGACTCGGGCTTCCAGCACCAGCCTTGGTCCCGGCCCTGAGGTCTCCTTCCCATTCTCACCCTCCTCCCTCTTTCCCTATGCCCCTATGCCCTCAGGGCTCGTACCTGTGCAGACCCGCTCGTCTCCACGCCTGCCTCAGCCTTAGACCGATCATGACACCCGACGGAATCGCAGCGCCTGCCTGAGTAGGGACCGGATGAGAGAAAAAGAGGAAGCTGTCTTCCCGATCCACCCAGCGGGCCGGCCTGACACCCAACCCTCACGGACCCGCAAGGCGGCCCGGGTTCCGCCCGGCGGCGGGCAGAGGGCGGGCCCTGGCCTGGGAACTGGCGACCTGCCCGCCCACCGTCAGTTCTGGCCCCTCCTTCTGGCTGAGCCGGGCTTGGGTCACCGAGCGTGGCCAGCCCGAGCCGCCGGGACGGAGCAGCCGCAGTTAACCTGGGCCAAGCGACCGGGGCGAGGAGAAGCTGGCGCCGAATGAAACCTCGAGCTACGCCCCTCAGCCCGGCCCCTGGCCGCCTCCGGCCTCCGCGGACGCGGAAGGGAGGGGAAGGCCTGGGGCTGGAACTCGCGCCGGCGGCCGGAGCCCCGCGGCGAGACTGGGCAGCCCTGAGGGCATCCCACGTCCTCAGGCCCTGGGTCCCGAGCCGCCGTGCACACCTGGGTTACGTGCGTCGATGTGAGTGCTCTGCAAACCCAAAGCAAGGCACAGTCTGCGCGGGATCGGCGGCCGGACCGCGTCAGCTCAGGTCCCCACTGGACGGTTGTAATGCGACCGCCGCAGGACAACGTCCCTTTTGG